TCTTTCCCTTCTTCTCTAGTGTTTGTGTCACTTCTAGTTTGAGGATCCTACCGGTTAAAATATTTGTGACAGACAAGCACAGTTAGATGTGATTCTGTATATTTCATGTTGGAAATCATGTGCTTAATAAATACTTTTTCATTGCATTTTCTTTATTTCCTGCGATTTTTCAATACAAAATTGCTTATATGCATATTATAATAAAAGAAAAACAATGCATGCCTTTTGTTAATAATAATAATAAATAAAAGATAAATTCTGCCAAATTAAAGGCTTTTAATGAGGTACATTTTGGCATGACTTTTAATTCAGTTAACTCATTCAATTCGAACAAAAATGGACATACACTGCAAAAAACATATTTTTGGAAGTTGTAAATAAAATAAAGATTATTGGAGTACATTATAAAAGAAAATACTATTTCAGTTTATCTACTTCAAAATTTCATGTTTAATTCAATGTGTTGCTTGCCATTTTTTTGTAATTATTTCTGTAATTTCCGAGTGACATCCATCTAAAAGTTACAAGGCCGATATATTTTCATATTTTCCCATTGTATAAAGACCCAAGTTATACTGTAAAAAATTCATATTATAAACTTGTGTAAAATATTATTTGGAAAGTATTTTTTTTTTTTTTTAATTTTTTAACTCAACATAGTGCTATTCTGCCTATTTATGTGTTTATTTTAATCAAGTTATTTATTTAATCTTATTTTTTATTGTTTATTGTTACATTTGTACTAGTGCTGTCAAACGATTAATCGCATCCAAAATAAGTTTTTGTTTACATAATATATGTGTGTGTACTGTGTATATTTATTATGTATATATATAAATACACACACATACAGTATATATTTAGAAAATAGTTACATTTATTTACATGTACATATTTATAGTCTTATAAATTATATTATATATAAATATATTTAATATATAAAAATACATTTTTTCTGAAATATATACATGCATGTGTGTGCATTTATATATACATAATAAATATACACAGTACACACACATATATTATGTAAACAAAAACTTTTATTTTGGATGCGATTAATCGCGATTAATCATTTGACAGCACTAATTTCTGCACAATTTTTCTCTGGACTTTTCAAAGGACCCCCAGCATTAACTTACGGGCCATTAGGGGCCCCCTTCAGCCCGCTTGAGAAGCCCTGTATCAAAATACAGAACGGAACGTTCATCCGCACACAGTTCCTGCACGGAGCCTATTGGTGTAACATACGACAGAAAGTTCCATCAGCATGGTTGTCTCATGGTGCAGTTATAGGTAGTTCTTTTACTAATATTACTGTGGAATGCTTTTAAAGTAATATATTCTCATAGACTGATAGATATAGATACAATTTCCATATATATATATATTTACTATATTCCGCGTTACCATGCATGTCATAGGTCTGCCATAACGCTAGAAAGCTTCCAAATAACATGTCAACATCTGGTGAAATTCATGTAATAACAGAAAAAGCTGAAAAACACCTACGTTTTTTTTTTTATTATTCATTAGGTTACTTAAAACCTTAAGATGTCTAAAGTTAAACTGAAGAAACGTGCTGAAAGTGTTCAGACTAATGGTCAGTCAAAACAGAAGAAGAAAAAGAAACATGATAACAATAAAAAGACGTTCTTCTACGACACAACAACAGTCATAAATAAGAAAACGAAACCAAAAACTGTAAAGCTAAGTATTATGCCCCCCACAAAAGTTGAAGAGTATTCGTGCAACTGGAAGACGTTACTGCAGGTAAGAGGAATTATTTGCCATGGTAAAATCATATTGAATTCCTGTATTAGTAATTCTGAATGGGAAATGCATGTCAGCTGTTTTTACATTTGGTGTGTGTGTGTGTGTAGACTATTGCTGCAAATCCTGAAAAGCAGGATGCAAACGCTAAAGGAAAGCAGCTTCAGAAGACGCCGTCAGTTTCCAAAGACTCTCATAAACCAGATAAACCCTTCAAAAAACCTGCACGGACTGTCAAACCTGCTTCTGAGAAAGATAGATTCCAACAGAACGGAAAAGACTCCACCGGACACAAACAATTCAAAGCAGAGAAGAGGAAAAGAAAGGAGGAAAAAGAGAAACAGATGAACAAAAAGAAGAAAGTTGAGGAGGTGGAAATTAAAACCGCGGAGTATGTGTGTGTTTTAGTGCTGCTTCATTTTATATGACTGTCCTGTGGAAGCTTGTCTCCGCAGTGGAATTAAAAAAATTAAATCTTAAGTTCATATCTTACAACTCAGGCTTTTTTTCTGAATTTTGAGATATAAACTCTCAATTGCAAGAAATGTGACATAAAAAAAAATTGCAATTACATTATTTTTACTTTTATTCCATGAAAAAAAAAAAAGAATTGCGAATTAGAATTTATAGAAATAAAAGTCAAAATTGCAAAACGTAAAATTTGCAAACGAATTTTGAGGGGAAAAAAGGTCTGAATTGCAAAATATGTACTCAGAATTCTGGGAGAAAAAGCAAAAAATTGCAAGACAAACTCAGACAAAACTGGGCGTAACATAAAAATGTTCAATCTTTTAAACTCCCACATTTGATCATCATTGTGTGAGAGACTCCCATGCTAAAATTTCAATTCCATGCTATATTTTTTCATTACTGTGAAACAGTAATATTTTAAATGTGTAAAATATTTGGAATTTTTTTTAATGTTACATTTTCTTCTCGCTATAGGACTGTTCTTTTAGATTTATTTATTTTAATTCTTTATATTAATTCTTTCTTTCAAAATAAATTTTAAAAAGTCAAAATTGTGAAGTGTAAACTGTAAAATTCTGTGAAAAAAGTCAGAATTGCGAGACGTAAAAATCTGAATTCTGAGGAAAAAGTCAAAATTGGGAGATATAAACTCGCAGTTATGAAGAATAAAGTCTGAAATGTGAGATTAAGAGTCAATTACCTTTTGAATTTTTTCTGTTCCATGGCGGAAACAAGCTTATATAATGTCTTCTTTTAACACACCGTTTCCTCTTAGGCCTGATATCTGGTTTGATGACGTGGACCCTGATGACATCGAGGCCGCCTTGGGGCCCGAGGCTGCAGACATCGTACGGAAACGTAGCGGAATGCTGAAGTCCAGTGCAGAAGTCACAGAGAGCGTGCTGGTGAAAGAGCACGCGTTTGAGGGGTGAGACACCTCAGTGTTTCCCACAGACTTACACTCTGGGCATACATATGCAAATTCATTCTCTGCCAGCAGGAGGCGCTTAGAGCTGGCGAAATAGAGGTTTCCCCGGTAAGGGCTGTACACAAAGCAGCGCTCCACTCACAAACGCTGCTTTATCAGACATTAAATGCAAGATGAAATGAAATGACATCCATCATTTTCTGAAGACAGTCGGTTTCCTTCATAAATACAGTGATATAAAAACACCCACACCGGGTTTCGATTTTGAAACGTGCAGTGCTCATGTTTATTCAACAAAGTCAAAGCCTTTTGGAAAATCTATTTGTGGCGGTCAGTTTTGATATTGTGGTGGGCCGCCACAAATAACTCAATGTATGGGAAAACATGGGACTCTGGGTAGTCATCGCTTTTGAAGGATGTTAACCAATGGCTCTTGTTGTCATGGTGATTTCAGATTGACCCGTGCTGTTGCTATGGACTGTGAGATGGTGGGCGTCGGGTGTGACGGTGAGGACAGCATTCTAGCACGAGTCTCCATCGTCAACCACTTTGGGAAGTGCATCTATGATAAATACGTCAAACCCACGGAAAAGGTTACGGACTACCGGACGGCTGTTAGCGGCATCAGACCGGCGGACATTGAAAACGGTCAGGACCCCTCATAGTAGAAATAATTAGATCGATTTTCTCTATTGCATTTGAAAAATACCGTATATTTGATGAAATAGTTGTTTGCATGGATTAAGAATGGAGTAAGAAAATAAACAAGTATTTCTTGCAATTTTGAGTTAACATCTCGGAATTCTGACTTTTTCTCAAAATTGCATTTGTAACACAATTTTTACGGTATTTCATGTAATTTAGAATTTACATCTTGCAAGTTTGAGTGAATATCACAATTCTTGACTTTTTTTCCTCAGAATTGCAGGTTTATAACAGAATTCTGACTTTATTTAACATCTTGCAATTTTGACTTTTTTTTCTCTCAGAATTGCGTTTATAACAATTCTCACAATTTTGAGTGAACATCACAGTTCTACATATTTCACAATGTCAAGTTATAACACAATTCGGACTATTTCTCACAATTCTAAATTCATATCTCCATTTTAATTAAAGGGGTCATAGGATGCTACATGCACTTTCACAAGTTGTTTGAACTGAAATGTGTGTTGGCAGTGTGTGTACACAACCACCATATAATGATAAAAATCCACCCAGTGTTTTTTTTAATCTACTCAAATCTTTACCCCTTTCTCAAATCGAGCCGATCTCAGATGCCTGTCTGTGTGACATCACACAGACAGGCCCCTCCCACGATAGTTTGATTGACAGTAGCGTTTCAGCACAGACTGGACTGGTGTCTTACCTTAGACCCGCCCTGAGTGAGCTGTCA